ATATATACACACACACACACACACACACACACACACAGACACACACATATATAATCCCAGGGAGTATTTTATTTTACTTTTATTTTTTACAGATGAAGTTCTACAAAACTTCACATATGTATTCCATCATGTAATTTATGAACATATCAAGCAAGAGTTTGTGGCCGGGTATAGTGGCTCATGCCTGTAATTCCAGCATTTGGGGAGGCCAAGGCAGGATTGCTTGGTCTCAGGAGTTTGAGACCAGCCTGGACAACATAGCAAGACCTCATCTCTACACACTCATACACATACACAGGCATACGCATGAACACACACACACACACACACACACACACACACACACACACACACACACACACACACAATTGGCCAGGCATGGTGGTGTGTGCCAGGAGTCCCCGCTATTCAGGAAGCTGAGGAGGGAGGATTGCTTCAGCCCAGAAGTTCGAGGCTCCTCTGAGCCATGATTGTGCCACTGCACTCCAGCCTGAGCAACAGAATGAGATCCAGACTTAAAAAAAAATTATGGTCTTTCTTATTCTTGTACTTTCAGTTTCTCTTATCGCTTTTCAATGTATGGTAGAGGGAAGTGTGTTTTGTTCATTTACAACTATTCTGATTATTGTAGAAAACATAGCAGCTGCTTGTTTTGATATCTAATGCAAAGCAGTGTACTAATTTATTAAATGATCAGTCATTATTAAATCTTATATTTTAAATCTTCCCTTTGTGATGTTTGTGTGTATGGTTATACACAAAGTAGGAAGAGGAACTGTTATTGCAGTTTCAACATGTCAAAGGAAGTCTTTATCTTTGTTATATACTTGTCAATATTAGAGTCATTGTTACCTTGACAAGCAGCTCCCAAAATGCACTCGAATGCATGTCTTTGCATAGGAAATACTGTGGTTAAATGTACCATGTCAATTCCTCATTTCTTTATTCTAGTTATTCTTCTTTTCAGGCTTTGAACTTAACTTGCATTTTGAGAATTTGTTTTAAAAGTATCAGTTTGAGCCGGGCTCAGTGGCTCAGCCTGTAATCCCACGCCTTTGGGAGGCTGAAGGTGAGTGGATTGCCTGAGCCCGCAGGTTCGAGACCCGCCTGGGCAGCGAGACCTCATCTCTACAATAAATCAAAAAAATCAGCTGGGCGTGGTAGCGCATGCCTGTAATTCCGGCTACTTGGAAGGCTGAGGCGGAAGGATCGCCGGAGCCCAGCAGGTCGAGGCTGTGGTGGCCGGGAGCGGCCACTGCACTCCAGCCTGGGCGACAGAGTGAGACTCCAACTCAAAAAAAAAAAAAAAAAAAAAAGGATCAGTTTGCTCAGCCCTAAGATTAACAAAGTTGTGTAGGAAACTGCCTTTTCTTATATCTATTGAATTTTAATTCCAGGCATGTTTAGTAGTGCTTCTTTTCCTTCTCCTTTTGCAGCAGTCATTATGTACAAATGTTAGGAAATTCTGAAAATAAGGACAAAGCAGCTGAGTTTTAGATAGGGCCTGTGTTGAAAGAGAATATCACACAGCTTATTGAGTAGACCTGCTGAGTCAGTTTTCACCAGTTTAGTCAGTAGCCGGTCACACTAATGTTATATGCCTCGTTGTAATGAAAGACCCTGCTAAGCCCTAATATAATGCGAATTATAATTCATTCCTATTTATGTCCTTAAATAGGGTTTATATTGAGGCTATGCCCAGCAGTAGACCATGCACTAAGAGCAGAAAATGATGAAAGTCACTTATAAGGTTAGACCTCTCAAAACATGTAGAAGGAAACCTTTTATGTCCCTACTTATTTAGTTGAAAGCATTTATACCCATAGTGTTGAATAGGTCTTTGTATGTCAGAAGGTGGACTAGTAGAGTGGTGAAGGTGGACGTGTTGAGAGAGAGCTTAATAGGCTCTTGATTCTAGCTAGAGTTTAGGAAGATGATACTAAAAAAGAATTCCACTGCATAGCATAGTGCCTGGCACATAGTGAGAAATCAATAATTATTTATTGAGTGAAAGTATCAATGAATCAATCAATCCTTACAAGGTTTAGGAATGTCCCAACACAGACCTGCTTAAAAAAAAAAAAAAACCAACCCCTCCCCCACCTAATAGCTCTTTGAAACTATATTCTATTAAACCTCTGAATTAATTTGCCCTTGGGGCAGTGCTGAAATTTGTGATCCTTGAATTCAGAGGCCACTCAATCAAAAGACAGCTTCAGATAGGTTTGTTTAGAATGCTAATTTATTGACTCTGCTATTGCTGTGCCTCTTTCTCTTTTCTGTTTTATGGCTCTAAGAGAGAAGTGTTTGACTAGAGTTGTAACCAAACACATGTCTGCTTCCATTCTGTGTATCAGTAAAGACAATGCAAGCACTAGGATTATTGCTTAGCAACCTAAAGGAGTCATAGCAAGCTGCAATGAAGCTAGAGAATGCCCTCGTTCATGTGTGAGTTTACTGATGAGTTATGGCAGATGTAGATATTAAGTTGCTATTTTTCTGTAGCTCTACCCTTAAAGTAGGAGGAGAAATGTCTCCCTTAGGTTATGGAGGACAGGTTAAAAGAAAAGCGAATTCAGTTGACCCTTGAAGAACACAGTTTGAACTGCTTGGGTTCACTTATGTGCAGATTTTCTTCACCTCTGTCACTCCTGAGACAGCAGGACCAAACCTCAGATTGCTCAACACAAAGACAATGAGAATGAAGAACTTTATAGTGATCCATTTCTACTTAATGAATAGTAAATATATTTTCTTTTTTATAAGTTTTAATAACATTTTCTTTCTTCTAACTTACTGTATTGTAAGAGTACAGTATATAATAAATATAACATAAAAATATGTATGGAAGGTTGAGGCAGAAGAATCGCCTGAGCCCAGCAGGTTGAGGCTGCGGTGGCTGTGAGTGTACCACTGCACTCCAGCCTGGGCGACAAGAGTAAGACTGCAATTAAAAAAAAAAAAGTATTAATCAACCGTTTATATTATCAATAGGCTACAGTTGTAGGTCAATAGTAGGCTATTGGCAGTTAATTTGGGAGGGAGTCGAAAGTTATACACAGGTTTTTGACAGCACAGAGGTCAGCACCCTACATTGTTCAAGGGTCAACTATACAGTAGAACCTGCAGACTTAAAAAAATTGCTCTTTCCCACACTTATTTAAAAGCAAAAGTATTATATATTAATGAGCATTGTGACAAAATAGAATGGAAACACACTCTTCACTCGCCCCCAACAACAAGTAGTTAATTTGTTTGCAAATTCAACTGAGCCATGAGGAGGAGCACTATACTACCCTCCTTACTTTCCCTATATTGTAATAAGAGAATTGACCAAGAAGGAAATAAAAACTTGGAAGGGAGGTTCCTGCTCAACCTCTCAAAATGCTAGGATTACAGGCATGAGCCACTGCGCCAGACTTAAACTTTTTTTTAAAGAAGCAAACTCTTTTTTCCAACTGAAATTTTATGATTCTCTTCAATCATGTAAAACAAATTGAAGCATAGCTGCTCTGGTCACAAAAAGTGCAAAGGATTTAGAGTCCTATGGGAAGCACAGTTCAAAAACCACTGCTCCACAATAGAAACTCATACTCTTGCTGGTTAAGATATAAATTGGTAAAACTACTTTGAAAAATAATTTAATAATATATCATTAAGGTGAAATGCACATACCTATGACCCTGTGTCTTCATCTGTTCCTGCTGCTATAACAAAATACCATAGACTGGGTAATTTATAAACAGTATAAATTTCTTGCTCACTGTTATGGTGACCGGAAAGTCCAAAAAGATGGCACCAGAAAATTCTATGTCCAGTGAGGGCCTGATCACTACTTCCTAGATGACACCTTGAACACTGTGTCCTCTAAAGGGTATGAATGCTGCGTCCTCACATGACAGAAAAGACAGAAGGGCAAAAAGGCCTAGCTATTTTCCTGTAACTCTTTTAGAAGGGTACTAATCCATCAAGGAAGGCAGAGCCCTCATGACTTAATTACTTATCCAAAGGTCCCACCTTTTAATACTATCACATTGGGTCTTAGATTCCCAACAAGAATTTTGAAGGGACACATAAAATCAAACCATAGCACCTATAGTTAAAATCCCAGTAATATACACAAGAGAAACACTCACATATATACACATAGAGACACATGCAATAATTATCATAGTAGGACTATCTATTGTAGCAAAAAAACTGAAAACAACCCAATGTCTATCAAAAAGAGAATGAATAAATACATTACAATGCAGTCATATAGTGAAATATTATGCAATAGTGAAAATGAATAAACTAGAGCTATACCTATTAATATAGATAAATGTCTCAAATATTAAGTATAAAAAAGAACTGTCAAGTGCACATGGTATGAAATAATTTTTACAGACTTAAAAAATAACAATATTATGCTGCTTAGTTATAATAAGCAAATAAATAAGTACATGGAAGTGATAAACATGAAATTCAGAAGTCTATCTCTCAAAGTAGCAGTACGGGAGGCTTTAATATATAGGTAATTTTTTCTTAAACTAAGAGTAGATACATGGCCATTATTTTATATCACCATTATACTTGCAGATCTTAAATATTTTGGTTACCATTAATCCCACCTCCCTTC